CTCTTCTCGAACCAGCCGTTGCCTAGTTTCCAGGGTCACTGGTGATGCCAGTCTTCAAATCCAGTTCTTTCTCTCAGGCCTGGTCCCTGGAAACCTGCTTATGCAAATGAGAGCACTGCTTCTTACTTCCTATTAAAAGATACGGTGTCCACTCACTTCAGATCCTTTACATCGGATCCGCCTCCTCAGGCATCTTCTGAACGTTACTCTGCAGACTGCAGGTGGCTATTCAGAGAGAGAGAGAGAGAGATGCTGTAAACGATCACATTTTGAGTTTCATAAACCAAATCGATAGTAGATAAATAATTTGTGAATTTTGCAACTGTGGGGACTCACAACCCAGGCTCCAGGCTGAGGTGTTAGAAAGTACCATCCCTCCTTGCAAAGGTCTGGAGACTGTGTGGGCACCTGCTCCACTCAGTCTCTGCAGGCTCCAGGCGGGCTGCAGGCTCGAACCCAGCACCTGGGCTTCATCGTGTCTGCGAGAGCACATCCAGGCCAAGGCGCCAGCAGCATGCTGAAAGGTCCGCATTAGAACACGTCTGCCCTCACCGTGTGCTCAGCACAGAACGTGCACTGCAGTGTGGAGCCAGAGGGGAGGCCGTCCGCGGTGCTGAGCCGGGGTGCCGCACTGAAGCCCCAGCTGTGGCAAGGACGGAAGCCACTGCTCTGATTGGACAGAATGAGGTATCAGGGAGTAGAGTTTGCGATTTCAGAGGAGAGCCATGGCTGGGAGCAGGGGAGCCACAGCTGCAGGAGGGAGTCCTCAGGTTCAGTCCCCGTCCTGTCCTCGACCTGGCTGATAGGCCCCCCACACAGCTGACCCCTCACACAGTGAGAAGTGACGACTGTGTGTTTGTGTGGGCATGTGAGTGCAGGCATGTGTGTATATGGGGACATGTGAATGTAATGTACGGGAGTGTGCGTATGTCTATACATGTTCGTGCATGTCTGCTTGTGAGTGTGCACACATGCACAACTAGTGTGTATCTCCCTCCTGCCTCCTCTCCTGCTCCTCTCTTCATTCTTCTGGAATCGACTACTTCCTTCCAGGGTCCTTCCTTCACTGACCTAAAATGCTCCTGGAAACTGCTGAATCATCAGTTTGGGGAAAAGAGTCGAAAGGCAGCCTCGGCTCAAACTTGGGGGGTGCCTCCGGTGCACGAGCAGCTTCTGTGGCTAGGTCATTAGCAAGCGGGGGCGGCGGGTCTGGACGGTGCTTTCCAGCCCAGTGAGCATTTGTGGAGCCGTTTCCATCAGGACACACCACGACTGTCAGCCCAGGAGCGACTGCAGCCACACGCACGACCCTCGCCTCACCAGCCCGCGTCAGGGAGGCCACAGGCCAGTCACGGCAGGTGGCACCCACAGGTGCTTGCAGTACGCCTCACTCACTCGGTTATCCCATCCTTTCTCAGGCCTTGGGTTTGCGGCCTCAGCCGCCTGAGTGCCTCTGCCCGGGCTACCCATAGGCCTGGACTCCTGGCGGCCATGTCTACCGTGCTCTGTCCACCAGGGGCTGTCTGCTCATCAGAGCTCTGCAGAATGGGAGAGAGAGGCACCCAGGGCACTGTCCTGGCCACCTCACTGGGGACAGTAGAGACAGGCAGGGACATTGCTGGAGCCTCGTGGTGTCGCCCTGTGTTCACCCACGTGTTCTTTTGCACCAAGTCAGGGCGGTCACAGCTGGCCCCTACTTTGTAAGCAGAACTGTTACTCCCCTGAATCTCGGGTCCTGGGGCTGAGTCCAGCTGTCACAGACGCCTGTCTCCTCAGTACATGCGTCGGTACACGTTGTTCTCCAGGGCCTCAAAGACCCCTTTGCCTTTCAGTGTCTGTCTCTCCGGCCTGAGGACAGTTCTGTGCAATCCTGAAACTCAAACCTTGGCACTATCCAGGCCCCATCCCAGGGGACCCCCCCATGGGCTCTCATGTCTGCCTCTGGGGAGGCGGGGATCCCTGCTCCCCATGCGATGCGTGTCTGGGTCGGACTTCACGTTAACACGTGCCCTTGTCCTCTCCAGCTGGCTGCCTCCCATTCACGCGCAAAGGCGGGAACAAAGGACCGGCGGTGCTGGCCCCGAGGACCAGGACGGAGCCCCGGGAGCCCAGGAGCAATGACCCGGCGGAGGGCAGCCTGGACTCCTGCACAGCCGCGGGTAAGGGGACCTTTGCCA